ACCGGGTCTTATAAACTAAGGCCTAAGAATTATTAACGTTGAGGCCTAAGAATTAGCAAAAAATTAGAAACTCGAACCCGGTCACCAACCGGGTCTTATAAACTAGTTTCAAACTATTTCCACAGTAAAGTATCTCGTGCCGTTAGGTTAGGATTTTGTTGCTATGTTAGGATTCGAAGACACTGTAAACTAAAATTTTAACAAATAAAATTTTTGTTAATGCCTAAAAGGCAGTTTCATATATTAAATTTTAAGTTATGAGCGATTTTTGACAAAACGACTATTTTTTTTTTTAATTTTCCTACCACTCGCTTAGATCGCCGATCCTAATACGAAGTTTCACAACAGAACATCACCTGACAGCCAAAGACACTTTCGCAGGACGCTATCCTTTGCGTCGATAGTCGTTTCTTCACTGTTTCTAAATTTTTTTTCTACACCATATTCTGGTCACCCACGTTTCGTTATAACATTCAGTAATTAATAACTTCTTTACATACCATTCGTTATAAATGTTCTTTTAATTTTCTTGCGGATTTTCTATAACGGACTTCATCACCGGTTTGGTTTCGTTTCATATTTTTTCGTGGATTTTTTTTTGCTTAATTTTTTTTGAATCAAGTCGTAGTGTGGTTATCGCAAATTCCTCAGGTTCTTATTAAAATCACATTTGCTACTAGAAACAAACAATGTACAAAACGATTTAAAACAACTTTCCTTTATCCCGATTTAGTCACCTTTTTCATTATCTTATTCTTTATCTTCTATGTTTTTCATATTTTTTCATATTTCCCCCTCGTCATCTAAATTGCATTATTATTTTCGATGAATTTGCTTTTCATTATCTAAACCTTATGCTTTTCAATACAGTAGTTTTACTCACCAGGTTCATCATTATACCATTTTTGAGAAGGATCGTAAGCATATAAAATTTCGACATCTTGTTGGGAGTTGATTTATTATAGACTTCTATTAAACATAAATCACATAAAATGAGCCATCATATAAATGTTTGTCATACAAAATATTACAGAAAAAATACGAGTGATTCCAACTTGCTCCCTCCGTATAAGCTTCGAGTGTCTTCGATAAAATACCCATAACTCTCGTTAGTTCACTTTTTGGCCGTAATAAAAAATGCCTATAACGATGAATAAACGTTCAGGCAGGACGAATGACAGAAGCAACACCTTCAAAGTTGCATAACATACTGTGAACAAGGAACCATCGTTTCAAATCTTTTTTTGAATGTGAAAAAAAAAATGAATAACGTAATAAAGGTTACCCTGAGAGATGCACCAATCAGATCTCTTCTAATAATCGATCGCAAAATACACGTGCCGCTTTGTGGCACGTGTACGACTTGTTATTGCCGCAAAAGTCGGTTTTGCACGGCTAAGAGCGACGATCAAAAAATTAGCTGTAATTTTACGTCATTTTACGAAATTTTGTGTAATCTTCTAAAATCAAAATTACATGTAATTTTTATCGTGTGAATAATTTTTTTAATTTTTGCAAAAATTTTTATAATGCCGAACATAATAATAGATATCTATTAGCGCTGGCTAAACTTTTGTATTGTAATATCGGTAAAATTATCATGTGACAATGCGCTATTCAATGTAAAGTTACATTACAATTTCGCAAGTTACAATGTAATTTACATGAAACGTAACAAAGTTTTATTACCATTAAGTGAAAATTGTTCCTGGGTCAATTTTACCATAATGCGGGCTTATTTCTTAAAAATTTCTATTTTTGTAATGAAAAAATTAAAAAGTTAATTTTGGCCGGAAATTAGTAAACAATTATGTAATGCGGGCCAAAATTTTTAAGATCCTCGGCCGTTAGCCAATCAAAATCGAGGATCAGCCGCGCATTTTTTGTGCGGCACCTAGGGTTAATCAAATATTGGCGACTTTGCCGCCGACACTATGCATTTAGAGAATATGCATTTAGAGAGTATCTGCACTTTACTAGATAATTATTTAAACTTTTTTATTATTTGTTTAACTCTAATCTACTTTATATAAGATAATTACTTATAAAAATTAACTAATTAAATTTTATGATTTTTTAAAAATTTATTATTTGATATTATATAATAAAAAAAAACTTCATTTAAAAAAGTTCAAAAATAATATATAAAGAATAAATATATATATATATAAAGTAAAATAAAAATAGTATTTATTAATAAACCCAAACTTATTAATATAATTATAATTATTACAATATAATTAACACATCCAACCACAATACAAAAACAATATATTCAAGAATTTTTATAGTTAATAATAATTTTTTTTAAAAATTAAACATAATAAACCAGTTTTAAAATAAAATGTTTTTACTTATCTTTATTTTTACAGTTTAGTATAATTTTCTAATAGATAGTAAATATATTTTGTTTTATAAACAAAGTTTGTTAGAAGTAAATCTTTTTTATTTTCTTTTGCAAAGTGAATATTAACACTATTCTAAAGCCATGAATAGTTTTTTTTATTAGTAAAATGTTGTGCTACCAAAGAAGTACTTATAAATAAGTTACCTGGACATTAATTTACATTAGCCCAACCAGACAAATTTTCTTATGAAATCTAAATCAGAAATTTGATTTAAAGCAAATACGAAGTCTTTAGGGTCTTATTGTTTTTATAAATCCGGGCCTAATCTGAATTTTTTGGCCTAAATTGATTTTACGGTGCAAGTAAAAAATCTGCGCCAAGTTCTGTCTCGAAATCGGCCTGCGTTAAGCTAATTTCGAAGTTTGAGTTAAGTTAGGGTTAGATGAGGATTTAGAGTAAGATTTATAGTAAAGTTATGAGAGGAATTTTTTTTGTTAGTGTATGAAAAGCAGTTTCATAGACAAATTTCAAGATAAAAAAGACTTAATTTTGTCGATCATGATTAATAGCACAGATTGCCTTTACGGTTGGGATAGGATTAGAATCCAAATCCGATCCGATTTGAAACATTTAACGAAAGCTCGTCACCAATCCTGTAATATTTCAGATTCATTTACATAATTTAAAAATTTTGGAGAAATAAAAAAAATAAAGTTCGAAGAATAACTAACAATATTAGAGAAATTGCTAACAAGGAAAGAAAAGAAAAGTTGTCATGCGATCATAATGAAATGGTGAATAATAAGTAAAAATATATTTAAAAACATTTTATATATTAATACAATAACGATTTTCAAGATAACCATATAAAAACAATCATGAAGAATGTCAATTTTTTTTCAGCAAATAAAAAAGAATAAATGCTTGTCAAAAAAATAAGCGCCATTATTAAATTTAGATCAAACATAATTTAGCTAGACACTTTAACTTGAAAAGGTCTAACAAACAATTCATTTCCTTCATTAGCCAATGCAACTTCATTAATCAAACGTTGCTTTAACATTAGCATCAAAGTTCTACCATCCTTAGCAAAGAGCCTGATACCTTCAGAAAGTTTTTCAGTAGCCATTGCATCTTCATTCAAATTCCATTTGAAAGTTTTCTCATCATAAGTAGTTTTTGATTTCGAACAACGATGCGCTAATTAATAATAATAAATAAATAAATAATGTGGTTTTCCAAAACTTACAATATGTATATATCTATGCATTTATTTAAAACATACCAGTATCAGGACTCAGTTTTCTTTCAATCTTTTTATAAGAGTTTTGCAGCCTATTCAATAATTTAGGACTGATTGTCAAGAAATCACAGCCGGCTAATTCTTCAATTTCTCCGGTATTACGAAAGCTTGCACCCATAATACTAGTTTTATAACCATATTTTTTATAATAGTTATAAATTTTGGTAACAGATATAACACCAGGATCTTCGAAAGATTTATAGGTTTTATGAGTGTTTTTCGTATACCAATCGAGAATCCTACCGGCATATGGGGAGATTATTGTAACACCCGCTTCTGCACATGCAACAGCCTATGTAAAATAATTTTGAAAAAGAGGGTTAACATTTAATAATAAAATTGGAATATGATATTTTTATAATTTACCTGAACAAAAGAAAAAACTAGAGTCATATTGCATTGGATTCCTTCCCTCTCAAGTATCTTAGCAGCTTGAATTCCTTCCCACGTTGATGCAATCTTGATCATTACTCGTGATTTATCAATACCAATTTCCTTGAAAAGTGAAATAAAATGCCTGGCCTTGATGATTGTTGCATCAGTGTCAAAAGAAAGTTTTGCATCTATTTCAACCGACACTCGACCTGGGATGAGTTTGAGAATTTCTGCACCAAAGTTTACCAACTATGAAATAAGCATTATGAATTTGAGTTTAGTAAAAATTCTTAGTAAATGCATTAAACTAGAAATGAGTGCATTAAACTAGAAATGAGTGCATTAAACTAGAAATGAGTGCATTAAACTAGAAATGAGTGCATTAAACTAGAAATGAGTGTATTAAGCTAGAAATAAGTTACCAATTTATCAGCGGCCAATTCAGTCATTTTCTCAATGGAACTGATGATTAAAAGGATTAATTTACATTATAACGATTATCATTAAATATTATAATAAATAATTAATACTTTTCTTTACTCTTCACATATTCAACAGTTGAATTAATTAAATAATCGTAACGAGAATTTTTGGTGGCTTCTAAAATCAAAGTCGGGTTTGTGGTCGCGTCTTGAGGATTGAATTTTATAATTGCTATATAATATTTTTAAAAAATTAAAATTTCAACATTTTTTTAAACCAAAAGAATTAATTCAAGGTTGAATTACGCACATTTGAAATCACCAGAGTCGCCTACGATCGTAGTCCATTGTTTTATTTGATCAAGAACTGAAATCATCATTTTTTTTCACTAATTTTTTAACAGATTCTATAAAGATCTATCTTAGACCTTAAAAAAAAAGTTTGCAGAGATATATTTCAAAGAACTTAAAAATTCACTTCAATTTATATAATTACCGTTTAACACTATTCCATCGATCCTTACATTATTCACCCTGAAATCTCTAGATCTAAATTTAGGATTTAGAACAGAACAATCTTTCTTTCATTATTATACATTGTTATTGCCTTATGTCGTCTTATCATGTTTAAGTAATGCCACTATCCTCTTATTATTAACTTTACATGGAACTGCTAGTTCTAAATACAGAACCCGGGTACGAGTACTATATTTGGATAAATTTTATATGAAAAGTAATAAAGTAATATAGCTATACTCCTAGGTATTATTCAAGAATTGGCTGATAATAAATGGTCAGGTCTTAATCACGAGGAATCTATTATATAATGCACGGCGATGTTACACAAGGCGACAAACTATGCGACAAACGTTGATGAGACAAAAATACAATCTGATTGGCTACTGCTACAACACATGATTCCTATTATTTGTTGTACTGTGTGAAGAACCGGGTACATATTTGGGATATACCATATTAAAAGTAGTAAATCAATATAGGTATACCACGGGTCTTATTCAAGAAATAGGATGGTAAGGATGACGAATAATACCAGGGTTTTAATCAGAGGTCAACGGTACATTAAAATTAGTATTTACTATATATACTTTATAATAATTTCTTTGTTTTTAAATTAACTATATTTGAATCCGGAGCAACGCGCGACGGGTTAGATGCTAATAATATTAATATTATAAGTAGTGATGTCATTTGAGGCGTTGTCAATCAAAACATGCCGTTGATTAATTATTTTTTAAAAAATAATAAGATCAAAAATTCAAACTTTTAACTTAAGCTATGACTGACATCATTATTGGATAAGTTGTATAATATATAATTTAATTTAATGAAACAAGTGCTATATTTCGCACTATGTTATGATTGATTGAAAAAAGACGACGACAATAAGTTGATGTATAATAATGAAAAAAAGTTCCGTTAGAAATTCAACAATTTAGTTTTTTGGCTTACCAAACCAAAATAATTACAAAAGTAAAACATATTCTATGAAGACTCAGCATAAAGTAAAAAAGAATTGCTGCACTTTAGCAAGAAAAGAAATGAAGGGAATTTGTGTCGAGGGTAAATCACCTGACATCTTTAGAGTAGTTATAAATAAAAACTTATCAATAAATGCTTGACTTTATGACCAGATCCGTATGATATGTGGGTGTTAATTATCTATTTTAAAATCCGTAATCCGTACTATAATTATTCGCGTTATATATCAGATTAGTACGGTAGGTTTTTAAAATAGGTACTGCCATCCTAAATTAGATCCGTACAGCATGAGAATGTAAAAATACCTATTCTAAAAAAATATGCCATACTAATTTGCTATAATTTCTAACTCTAATAATATAACATCGGATCAATATGGCACGGGGTTTTTTAAAATAGGTGGTTTACACCTCCATGCCATACGGATCTAATCTAGGGGTGCACGGTGCTTATTAAAAAGCATACCATATAATCTGCAATAATTCTCAGCCTAATAATATATAACACCGATCAGTATAGTACGAATTACGAATTTTAAAATAAGTATTTTACACCTTATACCATTCTGATCTGCTATAATCAGAATTTTTGATTAATAAATTGATGGCATGCGAATTCGCCCTATGATAACGAAAAATTGATTTGTTTAAGTTGATAATTTTAAATTTAAGGTAAGATAAAACAGTTAGTATAATAAACCCGTAAATTTCTTCCGTACCGGCTTTAAATCTATTAACCCTCATTAAAGCCGTCATAAGATTCTTTCCAACTCCATAATTCTTGATCCTCCTTGACATTTAATTTTCGCATATTGTCTTCGATATATAGCTACTGTTGAACTAGAACTAGGCGCAGTTGCCCCCTCACTCTACATAACGAATCATCCAGGACGGCCCCCAAAAGTTCGGTGACGTAAGATTAGTTAGTGCCATTTATTGGCTCTCTTCTATCTGCACATTGTAGATTATTTTCTTAGTAATTGTAATCCAATGCTATAATATACATCACCGAACTTTTGGGGACCACCCTGGATGATTCCTATATAACAATTACACAACAATTACGCAACAATTACGCCTTGAGATTCAAAATTGAAAATTAGAACATATGATTACAAAAAATTTGTTTCGCATGGAGTTTGTTGTCTATGACAAGATTCGTCGGGTTGACCTATACTATACTGAAATATTAAATAAATTAAATGTTTCCTTTTCCATATCGCAACCCTTTCCTTAACAGTTAATAATTTGGTATGCGCTCGTCTCCGAAAGCAACGCCTAATACGTAAAGTTTTCGAATTGAATTTGATGAAATTGATAATCACTAATTTATGTTGCACAAGGTATTTAGAATTCGAGAATATGCTACTTAAATATCACCGGTATATATTTTTATTTGGTTTTAGACGCTTACTGCAGTGCATACGTACGCGTACTTTCGGAGACGACTGTACGTACGTATATAAAGGTGTAAATTTTTATCACGTGATTTGGATATTTAAGTATCTTGATATGTAAAAGTGAATTGTATCCCTGAAAATAATATCTTACCACATAAAGTATCCTCTTTTCCACCAATGATGTCTCTGAATCATACCCGGCATTATTCATTTTAAAATGAAGTTCTTGAATGAGACCCCGGGTACTGTAAGCAATGGCTAAAGGTACTACGAATCAACTCTTTGGATTTTTTATTTTTAAAAAACATTCCGCACTATAGACTTACATGTTTCCTACTAATAAAAAAAAAGACAGAGAAATCAATGAAATTTTACTACATTCTTGAAACAAGGGAGTGCGTTTTGCGCAAAAACTACGTAAACTCGATTCCAAGAATATATTAAAACGTAAAAAAATTAAAAGAACTGTAGAACGTAAAGGTGGAAATGGTGGCAAAAAAATTACATTAATATTCGGAGCCAATCCATTATGTTTGTTGGGATTCATCAAATCATTTAAATAATATTTTATCAAAACTATTACAAAAATAAATATATGGAGGTGAGTAAATAGGAACCAAGCAAATATTTTATAATAAAAATTTTTTATAACTTTAAACAAGAATAACTTAACAAAAACTTGATCAAATTTAATAAAAAAATTTCTTAAATTACTATAAAGCAACACGCCACCCTCTCTTCTGATAAATTTAGTTCATCGTGGTTAATTAGTTATATTAGTGCCGCCAAAGGAAAACCTGTCATCGGCTTTCAATTATAATTTGTACCAAACATAGTCTATCCAATTTATTAGGGATTGTGTCCGATACAAAATATAATTGAAAGCCCGACGATAGGTTTTCATTCATATGTATACTTAGACCTGAGATTTTGTCTAGCTCCCTTCCACTTTACGATATTAGTTGATATCAAAAAATTTGCATGAACTGGATTTTACATAAACAGGAGTAGATTAAAATTCTGAGACGTATTTAATTGATTAATTAATCTATACCGGAATATTGCCATTGTTAATGTATTAATTAATTCTAATTTTTTTATCGTATGATCAGTATGTTTCAAAATTTTAATAAAAAAAATTAAATTTAGTGCAAACCCCTATCGTTATTCGTTACTGTACATAAAGTTATTCCGAAGTGTCACTGAAAATCATCATTTTGGCACTATGTTATACGGGATTTTACAGAGTATATATCTTTCTTTATATTAGAAATGCACAAAGCAAAAAAAAAAAAGCCCTTGACAGTATATTCATTGTTACCCATAGGCATATAGATTTTCTTGCGTAAGGATATCTGTAATGCATCAAATCTTTTCTCTATATTTAATATTAAAAATACACGATACAGCTTTAAAAGATCTACTTTAGTAATTGATTATCGTTCTCTATTTTTATTGTTCGAAGCATAGCGAATAGAGTCCAGAGCATAGCTTTAGCTAAAAGGCATGCCCTCTTGGACGTCCGGGTGTTTCAAATTCAAAAATCACTATACATGTTCCTTTTCTTTTAAGCGACTTTATATAGATCACTTAAAGAAAAAGGGACATATATGGTGACTTTTGAAACACCCGGTATATATGTCGTATTTCGATTTGATAGCAATTTCATATTAAAAATCAACGCCGAAATAGTTTTTACATGTTTCTAATTCAAATACATGTCTATAAATAGAGGTCCTATCCATTAACTGTTTATCTATTTATTTATTGGATATCTGATTTTAATAGATAAATAGTTAAAATAGATTAATAAATAGATATCTGGTTATTCAATAAATCATTCGGATTATGTATTTAGATATCTGTTTAGATATCTGCTTGGGATATCCGTTTGGATATCCATTTGGATATCTATTTAGATATCCGTTTGGATATTTGTTTGGGAATCCGATACTGTTCGGATATCTGTTTGGATATCCGTTTAGGTATCATTTGGATATCTGTTTGGATATCTGTTTGGATATCCATTTGGATATCCATTATAAATATATCACATAATTCGGTTAAATCTATTTGGATATCCGATATCCGGATATAATAACACGGATAAATGGGTGGCGGATTTATCCGGATTGGACCTCTATCTATAAAGTATGCCTCCGAATTTTTTTTACATATGCAAAATTTTTAGTCAAGGATATTTAAGATTAGGCTACTATAGATTTAGGGTTAGAGTTTATAATAAAAGATTATAGGTGGATTTAATTTTCAAATCGATATCCTAATTTCAGCATCAGTGACATTTATTTATCATTATTTTATCGTTTTACTAATTGTAATCACTAATATTTTGGATTGCTTAATTTTAGATTTAGTAGGAAATAGCGATAGCGTCTAGCCGTCAATTAACAAAAAATGGTATACCGTATTACCGCGAAATAACGGCCATAGTAATAGGCGTTATTTCGGGGTTCGGTCCGAATTAAGCTTAATTTAGGCCGGAATTTATAATTTCACCCCTGCGCGGTAATACGGTTTATCGTTTCACATGACATGCAATCATTTGCAGCTTTAAATTTAAATAAAAGAAAAAAAACAAATGTTGCGATGGTGAATAATAAGGTACATTTAAAAAAATTTTGTATCTTTATTAATAATAATTTATCATAAAATAACATGATGAATATAGATTAACTAGAAAAAATCATGAATAACGCAATTTCTTCACTCAGTAAACATTAAACCAGTAATGTTTACAAAAAGTAAGCGGACAATTCATTTAATTTAGGTCAAATACAATTTAGTTAGACACTTCAACCTCCTGAAAAGGTCTAGTAAACAATTCAATTCCTTCATGAACCACAGCGGCTTCACCAATCAAGCGCTGCCTTAACATGTACATTAAAGTTCTACCGTCTTGGGTAAAATTGTCTAATACCTTTAGAAAGTTTTTCAGTAGCCATTGCGTCTTCATTCAAATTCCATTTGAAAGTTTTCTCATCGTAATTAATAACAAAAATAGATATATAAATATCGTAAAATTTCCAATCCTTAAAATTTTCAACATTTATACACATATATGTATATTTAAAACCTACCAGAATCAGGACTCAATTTTCTTTCGATCTTTTTTAAGAGTTTTGCAACTTATTTAATAATTTAGGACTGATAGTCAAGAAGTCGCAGCCGGCCAATTACGAAAACCTGCACCAATAACACTAGTTTATAACCATGTTTTTTATAATAGTTATAATTTTTGGTCAAGGAAATGACACCAGGATCTTCCAAGAATTGTAGGTTTTATTGGTATTTTTTGTATATCAATCGAAAATTCTACCGGCATATGGAGATTATTGTCACTCGCTTCTGCACACGTAACAGCCTATTAGAATAATTTTGAAAAGTTAACATTTAAAAATAAAATTGAGGATGAAATTTTTTTATAAAAAGTTTACCTGAACAAAGAAGAAAATTAGAGTCATATTACATTGGATTCCCTCCTTTTCAAGTGTCTTGGCAGCTTTTCCCATGTTTATGCAATTTTGATCATTACTCGTGACTTATCAATACCAATTACTTGAAAAGTGAAATAAGATGTAAAAATAAAATATCATAAATTAAATTTAGTAAAATTCTTAATAAGCATTAAGCTAGAAATAAGTTACCAATTTATCAGTAGCCAATTCAGTCATTTCCTCAATGGAACTAATAATCAAAAAAGAATAGTCAATTTACGTTGCAATAATTAATATTAAATAATTAAAAAAATGTTATTTATAATAAATAATTATTACCTTTCTTTGCTCTTCACATATTCAACAGTTGAATTAATTACAGTGCCTTTCAATTTACTGTGATCGGCTGTCGATCATCAATCACACGGAAATCTGTAGATTTCCTCTGTCATTTTTTAAAAAATTCACACTTTAAAAATAAGAATTCCAAAGATTCCTTGTCAATTCCCGATTCTATAGTGTGTCATCTATCGGCGTACGATATTTCGTTTTGGTTAACCAAGTAGTTGTAAAAATTCCCCAATGTCTATCAATAGAAGTGCATTGAAATTTATTTTCAAACTTTGATCGAAGTTATCTCGACACCTATCTCACCAAA